TGATTTATAGATTTTCATATCAAACGTCAACAATTATGTCTGTACATTTTATACTTAACACTATTATTATTAGCACTTGATGACTATCACCTATATAATATTGTAAACATGAACACCTAAAAAAAAAGTTCATAACTGAGTCAACTACTATAGTCTACTTTGACTCCCAGTGTGCACACTTATGATGACAATAATGTAACAAAATGGCCAGGTTTTTAAAATTAAAACATATGGATATTTTCAAAAATGCCAGCAGTAATAAACCAATCAATGAAAATCTTAACATACAAAAGGTATACTTTTTTAAATATAATAAAGTACCTGTTTTCATGTAAACGGTAGTCTAAACGACATTTTCCGTTAGACAAACTAAACATTGGATGGAATGAATTTTCCAACGAGTACAATGCCTGTTCAGTGAGTTCAGCTGCAACTGGCAAGTCTTCACTAAGTCGTGCCCATTCTGTCATTTGTAACAGTACATCAACGTGGTATGGATGGTTATTGATAATATTCTAAAATTAAATTAGGATAAGCATAAGATCTTACTATATAGCTTAAACCTAATTGAAAACCAACCACCAGATTTCCCGATGACATATGAGACACAGCTGTGTAGAGTTGCATCTGAACTTGTTGGTATTCTGGGCTATGTTCAAAGGCAAAATACATAATGCCATTTTTGCTTTCCAAATATTTCATTGTTGAACCTATAATTTATTGGTATTTTTATGTGATAAAAATGTTACTAGAGTACCAATGTAAGTACCTGATTTGCCTACAGGTGGCCAATTGTCTTTAGGCGTCACTAACCATGTAGTTTTCAAATGATTTCTTCCTCTGAACTTGCGTTTGCTAAAAATTAAAACATATTTGTATTATATTTTAATCACTTATTAGTTGTAAGTATCTATTAAATTAGCAAATACATAATTAGATTGTAGTTTATTACAATACAAACTAAATTTACATTTCATTAAAATGCATTTGCACAAAATCAAAATATGCTTATTCAAACAACTTCATCAATACTACCATCACAGTTTGTTTAGAACTAGTAATATTTTAAGGTAAATTAAATTATTTGAAAATAACATTAAACATGATATATATATATATAATATATATTAAATGCTATTTTTATAAGTAATATAAAGCTATAAGAAAATTAAATTAGGTATATTGTGTAGAGTTTAAATGTAATATGATACTTGATATAGGTAGTAAACTAACAACAATAAATTAAAATTTAAGATTTTTTTACCTATTAATATTATTCTATTGTACGTTGATATTAACATATTATGCAATGTGTTATTTCGCAATAATTAAATGAAATAATAATATAAATATAACAGAAGCTGCCTTTCTTGGTAATAGTAAATGATTCTATGTATCCTTCAAAATCCTGTTTATGTATTCAATGATTTATTATTGAATTGAAAATTGAAAGCATTCATTACAGTTTTTTTCATTATAAATTCAGTTGACTTGGAACCTACTATGGACTATGAAGCAGAGAAATTTATATTTTTGTATGTATGTTATAGGCTTAAAAGCTTGGCTATAACGTTACACTTATTTATATTTGTAACATCGTTATTTATGTACCTGTTATTAAAAAAATAATTTACTTTAAGCAGAAAAGGCAGCATAAGTTAAATGTAATAAATTATACATCTATAATTACCAACTAATACATTTGATTACAATTTTTTTAAATTAAATTGTGTCAAGCTTCAAAATCAATGAAATTATTAATTTTTACCTTAGCTCAGCTTGATGAACAACACGTCCAAACATTTTGCGCAATTCATTATTTGGGTTGAGATTTCGATGTTGTACAGAAAGAATATTTTTGAAAAATATAGTTTCACGGTTGTTCAGCATATTCTGTGAAGAAGTAGCTTCATCGTCTTCATCTTCGCCTTTGTCGGGTACTTCACCCAATATTTTATTCACTTCACGAACACTTCTTTCCACTTCGTCCTAAAGACAAACATTTTCAACTATACTTAATATTATTGTTCAATTTGTTATTTACTTACCTCAACATTATCTTCACTGCTACGAGTATGTGATGACAATACTTTACCAGACTTCTTTCTCTTTTTCTTTTTTTTCCTCCTAATGTTTTCTTTATCGTATGACATATTTTCATCTTTCTTGTTTACGGAACCAGTAGTCTCATGGTCATCATCTTCTTTGACTTCAGACTCAGACATAGAACCATTATTCAGCTGTAAAACAATTGTCAACATAACAATAATAACAATATGGGCTGTCAGTAAAGGTTTCTATTTTGATAGACGTTCACACTCACCAAATCATACATGTTTAAGTGTCGCTTTTTGTTCACTCCACCAGAACTAGTTTCAGTATCATCGCTCGCATCGTCTTTAACAGGTGGCAGGTCACGATCGTCCTGCAAGCCCATTTTTCGCAACACCCTCGAAGACATTGTGAATTTGGCAGCTGACTGAAGCACTCGGAATTTGTATTCTTACATATTTCGCGATGACATCAAAAAGGGGACGATTCTTTAATCTATAATACAGCGTTGGAGATTCAGTATCTCAGTGATTGTAATAACTTATGATAGTAAAGTGATATTATGTTAGGTATAATACCTGTGTTATTATATTCTTTTGGCCTTTTGTGAAAACTGACAATTAAGCAATAATAATAATAATAATAATAATAATAATGAAAAACACCAACAGACAGTGTCGTGGTAGACGTCACAATAATAATTTACTCAATTTGCGTTCACACCACTACAATTTTACTGATTGGATTGAAATGTATTTTATCACGTATCACAATTTATCTTAAATAACAGCTGGATGATTTGTTGGTTAGGAAATTAATTTTAGAAAATTCATAATCAGTGTCGCCAGAGCATTGACTGATAAGTGATAACCCAGTGATAATCAGTAATCAGTATGTTGAAAAGTATACTCACGCTTTCACGGTTTTCGAACAAAGTGAAATTGTATAGCATTCATTCGTGTCAGAATTTGTACTGTCTCAATATGTCTGACGAACAGGAAAAACCTCGGGAAAAGCAGCAAGAGAAGTCTTCCAAAGTCCAGTTGAAGACGCCCAAGGGTACACGCGACTACGGCCCCGAACACACGGCCATCCGGAATGACGTACTCGGACGGATTACAGATGTGTTCAAGCGTCATGGTGCCGTCAACATCGACACACCGATATTTGAGCTCAAAGACGTGCTGACAGGTAAGTACGGCGAGGATTCGAAACTCATCTACGATCTTGCCGATCAGGGTGGTGAATCACTGTCGTTGCGATATGACTTGACCGTGCCGTTTGCACGCTACTTGGCCATGAACAAGATCACCAACATCAAACGATACCAAATCGCCAAGGTGTACAGAAGAGATAATCCATCCATCACCAGGGGCCGTTACAGGGAATTTTATCAGTGTGATTATGACATAGCTGGCCAGTATGATGAGATGATACCGGAAGCCGAATGTGTATTTGTCGCTGCTGAAATAATGAAAACGTTAGATGCAGGCAACTTCAAAGTGAAAGTCAACCATAGACTCTTGTTGGATGGTCTATTTGAATCTTGTGGTGTGCCGACAGAGAAATTTAGGACAATTTGTTCTTCAGTAGACAAACTAGACAAGTCACCGTGGGAAGAAGTTAAAAATGAAATGATTAACGAAAAAGGATTATCTGAAGAAGTAGCTGATAAAATTGGAACATACGTGCAGATGAATGGAACTGATGAGCTGGTCACAGCTCTGTTTAAAGATGACCTGCTTACCAAGTCTAAAATGGCAGTGCAAGGGCTTGAATCAATGAAACTATTTTTTGAATACATTAAAGTGTTTGGAATTGAAAATCTTGTATCTTTTGATTTAAGTTTAGCTAGAGGTTTAGATTACTATACAGGAATAATTTATGAAGTGGTTTTATTAGATAAAGGCCAATCTGTTGGCAGTGTAGCCGGTGGTGGTCGCTATGATAATCTTGTTGGTATGTTCCATCCAAAAAACAAAACCATACCTTGTGTGGGTATATCTATAGGCGTTGAGAGGTTGTTCACTGTAATTGAAGCCAAACTTGCCAAAGAGAAACAAAAGATACGTACTACAGAGGTGCAAGTGTTTGTAGCTGCTGCTCAAAAAAACTTGGTCGAACATAGAATGACAGTGTGCAAGGATTTGTGGAATGCTGGTGTTAAAACTGAACATTCGTATAAGAAAAACCCCAAATTGTTGGTTCAACTGCAGCATTGTGAAGAGAATGCAATTCCATGGGCCGTCATAATTGGTGAAGAAGAAGTAGCCAAAGGTGTAGTTAAATTAAGGAATGTTAATACTAGGCAAGAGGAAGAAGTTAAAAGAGAAGACCTCGTTGATGAAGTATTCAAAAGGTTAAATATTAAAAACTAATATGTTTTTTGTAAGTATCTACCCACACATTTCGGTATTAAGTAATTTTTTTACTAAGTAGTTTGTTTATGGTTCTTTCCTAATAAAAATAAAAACAATCTATTTTTAATTACTTATCTCTTTATTATTCCCTATATATTATTACTTGGTTTTATACTATAATCCCAAGTTTATCATGCTGTATATTTATTTAATAATCCCAGGCTTGTCATGCTGTATTATATAAAGTGTACATGTTCAAGCATCAAGTCTAACAACTTGTCATTTACATATTGTCTATTATTAATGTTAGTTACATTAAATTAATTTTGATAGTTATAGATACACCATAAAAGTTATAGTAAGAAGTCACATAACTAAATTGGAAAATTATAGTTTAATGAGGACATAACGTTAGGTGAAATTGAGAATTGGTCAAAAGGTGATCTCAAACCTGACAATTGGTTATGTTTTATGAAAGAATGTGTCAAACATATAATTATTTACATTGTTACTGACTTCTGAGTGCTGTGATATTATAGTATTATTAGTTCTTAATTATGTTGGTAAGTAAACATGGATGATCAAAAATTATTGAAGATATTTTGCTGTATTTTATTAATTAATGAAAATGTTAAGTCATATGGTAAATTAATACTTGTACAAATTTAAAGAACTTAACAACAAAATACAACATCATCAAATCATAAAATGGATAATATTAATAACAGAGAGCATTTTAACTATATAACCATTATTACTACAATTAATCATAAAAGAGCTGATTGTTAGTACAATTTAGTAACAGCACGGACTATAATCTATCAAAGTCCGTAGTAACAATAACTGTTCAATACTAACATTTATAGTTAAAAACAAAATATAATAAATAATAATATATACCTAATATTATATAAGTACAATCGAATATTGAGATAGGTATCAATAATTTAAACAGTGTGTAAAACTAAACGCCTTTTGGTCCTTTTAATAATATGGTTACTAACATAATATCGTTAAAGTAAGTACCTAGGTACCTTAAAAAAAGTTTGGTAATAATGTCTACTGAACTGAATAGTGAATACATAACTATATATTCGATTCAGCCGATTAAGTTATTTACAGTTAGTACACATTACGTTATAATACAGTAAAACAAAAAATAAAATGTTAAGCGTTTGGGCACAAAAAAAAAAAATAATTACCTAAATTTAAAAAAATAACGACTTCTGACCGACGACATACAATCACAACAGACTATTATTATACTATTATAATAAATAAAGTAAAAGCTAATAACTATATTATCTAGTACACAGACTGTCAGAGTGATCGTTACATATTGCTAATAATACTTGGGGTATGTTGAACGTTGATCGTGATGATATCATGATCCATGTGGATGACTGGATGAGACAATGAGAGAGTATAATATGAGACTATCAATATTGTTATTGGGCCCGGGAACGGCTATCGACCGCAGAAGAACGTCTCGAAAATCAGAAGCAAAGCCATACCACCAACGACCGACATGGACACAATGATCTACACGACATGGTAGTCACGACGGTTGCCAATTCGTGCCGAATCCGCAGGCCGTGTCCGAGTCCGAGTCGCCGGTGACGACGATTTCCGCAGATTTTCTCTTGTCCGGCGACCGGTCGGCCGGGGCCGAGGCCCTCCTCAAAAAGTCTTGTGGCCGTTTGGACTTCCTCTTCTTAATCGTAACGCTTTTCGGAGGGGGCATTCTCTTGGCATCGTTCTGCTTCGAAAACAAAAATTAACTCGAATCAATATACAGCTTCAAATATCATTATATTATGTTGTGTAACTGCGATGAAGGCCCATCCTAGTTGCACTACCCCGTTCCCTCACCCATCAAACTTGGATTTAGCCCTCAAAAAAATTGCTACGGTCTTAAGGTTTTAAGTCATTTTTTTATTATGGTATATCTTTGTCGAGACTAATATATAATAGACGTGGCTACTATATTACAATTAATTACAGGTGAGATTTACAAATTTTGCAAATGGAAATTATAAATCATAATATTATATGATTGCATGGATATAATAAATATAATTACTAGGTATATTATATAGTAGCGAATATATGGTGGGGAGATTTTAAATAAATTCGTGACAGTAGCAGAAAAATGTTGCAGTTGTTAAATTACCAATAAAATTATAATTGATATTATAAATTTAGTTTGTTTTGAATATTTTTTTATACTATGCCTCTGCTACAACTTATTAGTTGTATTAATTAAAATTGAGTGGTAGCAGTCCTATTTGGATTGATCAATTTTTTTTAAACTATAACCAACGTCCGCTAGTATTTTGATTTTTGACCCTAGTTTTGCCTTTAATTTCCTGCATCAAATATGCGGATACGCCACTGCACACAACTGTTACAAGAACTTTACAGACAAACAATAATTGCAGTCAGCAATAATAATAGTTAAAATGGCGTTACAATTTAATATTCTTTTTTTTTTATTGATTTATTATGGTCGCCGTATATTATACGGTCGTGCTTTTGGTAAACCTGTTGTATGTTGTCGGCGGAGCCCCAAGTCTTGTGAATCTTTTCTGCGTTGTGTCCGACGCCCAGGAAGTTGCTGAACGCCTCCGTGGTCCGTTTAACGCGCACGTTCAGGGACCCGATCCTCAGAAACCTTAGGTCCTTTTCTGCATGCCGAGAAGGAAAAAAACGACAAAACGATAAAACGAAACCGACAAGACTATTTTTTAGTAAAAAATTACTGCAGCTCGTTTGGCATATATCACATATATATACATGTATATATAATATCATATAATATAGACTAAATATTAAATAAATATCATAAGATGTATACATTTTTTGATATTTTTAGAATTCTGCCTAATTTCGTCGGTTGATTGAGTACCAAAATTGGCCCTCAAAGCCTGACAGTACGAATCTTGGTACTCAAAAGTACGAAATGAAGGAGTAAAAATACTTAAGGCTAGGGTACAAACCATGTAAAGTTCAGATGTGGTACTCATAGCAGTCTACTTGTTAATAGACTATAACGAGCCGAGGGATTGAGTTCAATAATTTTAATTTGCAGACCACGCTGCAAAAGCACTGGAGTTTTATCTGAGTATATTTCATACGATAATTTATTATAATAAAATGATATATATATATATGATATAATACGGCGTAGTGCACTGCAGTGTAAATAATAAAAATAATAATATAATATGTTAGGAGCGCCATTTCTAAGAGGGCAAATATATTCCTATGAGAGCTAAGCTGCCATAAGAGACAATGTCTATTTTTTCTGAGATCGAACTTAATCAGAACATTTTCCATGAACACTATAACCAACAGTTGAGAAAGAGACCTCCGTTAAAATAACCGAAGAAGTACCAGTATAAACTGAATTAAATGTTAAAAAGTATTCAGTGAAATTAAAAATGTTCACTTTTCGAACACATTTCAAAAAAAAAAAATGATCACATCACGCCTATATGTACGCCTTGTACGTCAAACCTTTAAAATATGATATAGGCGTCAAAATAAGATATCGTTCCTCCACTCCAGAAATGGCGCCACTATTTTATATTTGTGTATTATATTATTTTGTGCTACGTGAAAACATAAAGCGATTAGATGCGCTCGAGACTTACCCATGTGTTTGTGTTTTCGGGCGTTTAGTTCTGCAAACAAACAAACACTACAGTATATTATGAACGAAAGTACAAAAAACGAGACAAACAACAACAAAAAATAAAATAAAAACGTGTCTAGACTTAAAGTTGGAGAAAACTCGATTGGAAACGTAAGACGGTAGGTATGGATACTATTAAATAGGACAGAGACTGCGGTCTGCACCGTGTTAACTAATTGTCTAACCGACAGAGCTATTCGTGCGTGTATGTACATTGTACATATTATATTACAGTAGCTACATACATGCGTACATATTGTTTTCAGCAAACTTTTAGGCGAAGAACGTTGTTATGATATTTCGTAAAAGTTTCTAGATAGAAGAGCTGTTTCAGGTAGTACCATAATATTATAGTACAGCATGCGCGATTTGTATAATTGCATAGCGTCAGTTTAATGTACACACACATATATATATACGTAGTATAATATAATATACGAAGAGACTATACATATTATTATTATTACATACACACATACACACACACACACATGACACATACACTCCCACACTCACACACACACACACATACATATAATATATATATATGCTGTATAGGTTATATACGCTTGTAATAATATATTATATTAATGTCTTTGTGTTATGGTGCAGAGTACTGCTACAAGAGAGCATAGCACAATAATAATAATATGTATACAAAATGAAAGCCACACCACTCTTATATAAAAAATGTACTTGCCTTTCCGCGTCCAACAGCCCTATAAGCAAAAGAAATAATTACGGTTAAGTATCGTCGGGTTTCATCGTATTACACGGTAAATTGTAGGGAAGATGACAATAATATTATAATACATTATTTTCTCATAAAGGGCAGATAATATCATAATTTCATTGAAATTTCAAGTCCGGTGCATGTATAATATGGAAAATTAATTTAACAAACGCGAATAATCTGTAAACGCATTATTCGTTTCGTTAGCCCGCGAAATGTTAACACTAGTCCGAGTAAATAAAACATATAATTAGTATTGTTATTGCATTACATAAAATGGAACAGCAGCCGCATGCTCACGCGTACCTATTTTAAGGTATAGGAGGCATTGCAGGTGAGACACACGGTCTGCACGCACCGGTTATCACAAAACGTGGCCTTATTATAACAATAATTATTACTATTTATACAGTATGATTATACTATTATGTTTAGATTTGGTCATAATTGTAGATATATATATATTAGTCGATATATATTTTAATATGACCGACTGATGATTGCGGCATGCAGCATATAAGTATAGATAGGTGTTAATAATATTATACATGCAATAGCAATAATGTTCATTTGATAATAATATACTATTTTATAGGACAAAGCAAATCGGTGACTGCAGTGGTTGTAGTGGTCTATATGGGATGAGGACAAGACAATTTCCAAATGAATATGGCACGTGCAATGTATTATTCCAAACCAAACAGTACACAATGTAGGTTAATAATATAATAATTTTTCATCGAACATTTACCAGCAGCAGTTTCGCGGACCGGAGAAAAAATATTCAACGTCTCTGGCTGCCCGCTGGCAATTTACTTGCCGTAAAACATTATTTATTGTTTAAGCTTTTCAACGGGCTCAATAAACATCATCTCTCGGGTCGGGGTAGTTAAGTAGTGGCTTATATATAGGTACACTCATAACAATATTTGATTTAAACAATTATTCAACTAAAAAAAACATTTTATTATTACTTTTTTTTTAATCCTGGAATTAATTTGATCGAAACACTTATAGACACACTCTCATTTTTGTACGTATATTTGAAATTATTCATGTAACGAGTAGGTGCATTTACATAAAACGCCATTTTAAACCAAATAATACAACCACGATAACAAGTATTCAGTTACAAAGTAGGTAATTAAAGAATAATGATTGTTGTTTAGTTTTTTTTCCTAGAACTTCTGAAGATAACTTTTTACACAGATCAAAAGAGAATTAACAAACATTTTTTATCTTAGGGTTTACGTATAACGTATTTTATTACGTTTTTTTTTTATCGATTGTAATAAACTTTATAAATAAAAGGACACAAAAGATATTTGTATTATAATTGTGTGCAAAAAAATCTCAGTAATATCTACGAATATTAAAATATTTAGATAAGACCGAAAAATTCATTCAATTGGATAAAGATAAAACATTGAAGTTAATCAATAAAACATAAATATTTGATTAAAAACACTCGATTTTAGAATAAATGACTTATAAAAGATATATGTACCTACAATATTGGACATTTATTATTGAATTACCATTTAGATGGTGCCATTTTGTTCGGATAAATATGCAGGATAATAATTATCAAATAATTTACTAAAAGTATTTATTTGCTATAGTATAAAATTATGGTCGAAGATAATAATTATGTTGTTGTTACAAAATAGTTTAAAATAAGCAGGCATTTATGTACCTAATAGCTACTTAATATTGAATTTGTTTTTCCATTAAAATTGACTTTGTTTAAATAACTAAGACAGGTAATAATATGTAGAACACATATAATAATTGTATATTGTTAATTTCATTATGTTTTTCATCGCACAAAAGGTACAATAAAACTAATAAATATAAATGTTTATATATTTATAAAATAGCTTTCTGTGTCTATTCAAATAAAATATAATATATTAACGATAATGACTCGTGTACAAGTAACGGATTCAAATCGCCCATTCTAAACAATTATTAATCAAAACAATAATACATACAACATTGATAAAAATGATTTGATATATTTTAGGATTAAACGCCTTGTCCCGATAACTACTACTAAATGTACAATTACTACGCATAATATGTGTAAGCAATATTATTAGGTACTTATATAGTTAGTTTGTGAAAGTGAAAACCATGCACCGCGAAAATACAATACCTATACCTAATATTATATTATATTACTGTAATACACTACTGTCAACTGCAAATGCATGCTATATAGCAGAGGGATTTTTTTTTATAAATTCATTGAATATGCCACACATTTATTTTATATTCTGTCGCCGAAAAGCGTTTTATAATGTGATTTATCGCAAAACCATATGAAACGAATTTTTATAAATTAAAATATAATTGGGTTTTATATCCGTATTGAATTTAAGTTGAACTTTATGACATAGTTTGACGGCTTTACTATAGCCTACATATGGCTATAAATAACTAGCAATAATAATAATAATATAATATCGATTTCGTCAACGACGTGTACCCGTGTATTATAATAAGATACTTTATATTATCATTATAATATTATATTGTGGTGGCAGCTATTATATTATATATCAGCTGAACTCGATACGCGCCGACATGACGGATTACAGAAAAGTCGAGTATTACCACTATTTATTTAAATGTGCGTGTAACGACGATCGGTGTTCGTACATGGAATATGGGGAGGGTGGCGAGGGTTGGAGACGATGCGTGTGGTATAATTATTATTATTGGTGTGTGTACCTATATAATATATTATATGCAAATAGGTAAGTCGTAAATCGTATATATATATATACATTGTGAATAATATACGTATCGTATAATGCGAGTTCTGCGATAGAATTATAGATGTGTGTGTGTGTGAACTGTGAATAATATCATAATATAGGTATCGTGTTGCGTATCATCGTTATTGTTGTTATTATTATTATGATATTAGAACTACGATAGGGCGGAGAAGTAGTACAGGGCGGAAGACGGCCTAGCGCAGTCGCCGCCACCGTCACCGCCACCGCAGTGTTTGTCTCTGGCGGATTTGGACGACGGGTTAACTACTTGGACGGCATGCGAGAATGACAAGGAAGACAAGTTGGCGGTTTTTTTAGAGCGCCGCTTCGGCCTCGGCAAAGAGCTGAACAGCAGGAGCTTAGCGGCCGTCGAGGGCTTTTCGCGGGCATACTCACTGCGATACGTGTCCGCCGACAGGCTCGTGTCCTGGTTCGTCTGGTACTGCCTGGGCTTCCGTCCGCTGTAGTCCCGCACGTTCGGGTCGGCTCCTGAAGCGCCGCGGAAACCAAGTTTAAATTATTATAATATTATTACACGTACAGATAATGACAAGGGCGCCCGCAGAATAAAATCCCACCTGGGGCAAGATGAACAGTATTACTATAATAATCTAATATATTATTAGTTAAAAGTGTTATTGATATTAATAATTACGCATGTAGTTAAATATTCCTAGGGGTCCCCCCCCCACTACTGGCGCCCTTGTAGAATATGGGTACTATTATTATATTCAATAAATAATAAACTCGTCGTATACTATAAAGATTGCAGAAAAGAGATCAGGCGGTGTTTTTATGTAACGATTATCATTATTATTATTAGTAACAGCGTATTTCGCTTACCGTACGACTCGACCAGTATTTTGTAGATCTCTTCGTGTCCAAACTGCAGGGCTAAGTGACACGGCGTGTAACCCTAAGGAAATCAATCTCGCCGTTAGAACAAGCGATAAATAAATATTATAATACGTCGTTTTGCCGCCCCACCCGCCTAAAATCCCTTGAAATAATGTTCGAATATTCCATGAAAATTAACAACAATCGACATTTAAAATATTTACATCGATTGACTTTATATATAAAAGGTATGTAAAACGGCTATCTCCGATTATTTTGGAACACATGAAAACGAAATTTTAACTTTGTTATTTTGAATTTTTAGGTAAGTCGAAAATCTATGAGAAGTAAGTATATAATATGTATATAATACGTATATAATATGTATATAATAAATATTGTGGTGGCTCTCTAATAAAAATAAGTATTAATTTTCCAAAAAATTAGAAAAAATTCATACACGGATAATGCCGTCGTAGCGATTATAGCACTTTAAAATAATATACATAGGTTCACAGTTCTCAATCGCGGGACGTAGGAAAGTTGCGGAAATATCCTTCTGTGGCGGCAAACATTTGACCGCCCCACAAACTCCCGTTTGCAAGCAACAACATTATATATAATAATAATTATTTTACCACCACTATTATTATATATTATACTATATTTGATAATAATTTTCGACGACGGAGGTGCCATGGCCGAAGGGGCGAAAGGTATAATGACGAAACTGCATCGTAGTGCATATTAAAATAATATGCAGTATAATAATAAGTATTCTATATATACTATTATTAATCCTTTATCTTAAGCGTTACCGCAGTTTGACGCAGCATTTGAATAATTTTAACCAACGTCAGACACATCCTTTATTGTTGTACCGATGAAGTTTTTCGGCAGTGCATCGTTTAGGTTTGAATTTTTATATTATTATATTATTGTATAAATGTAGAGTATTATAGAAGGGTCGACGTCTTTCATTATACTTATATGTTATAATTGTTAGCGGAAAAAACTAGGAATAAAATATATATTATTGCGTATATAATAATAAGTGAATAAGTGCATCGACGCCCAGGAAGGGGTGCGAACATTATTCAACAACAATAATATCTTTTATGCTAATATACACACACACATACACACATGTATTATATATATACACACATATATATTGTGATATGCGATAGCGTTGCTGCTGGGGTGCAGGATTGTCGCGAGAGTGCTATGATTTGTCACCCTTTTTGATTTTTAAATCGTTTCGTAAACGTCCTAGAGGACAATTAAAATTTCGAACAGATGTCGTCGGCCGAGTATTGTATTCTATTTATATATATGGAAATTGAATGAAACGAGCGTACACACACATAAAAAAAAATGACAACAGTGTCAAGGGGTTTGTACAAAGAGGGTAGGTATACATATTATATAGTACTATATACGTGATTTTAAATTCTCTCTTGTTTTTCGAATATTATGCGGTTCGTCACGCTTCTCAGTTGTTTATTGTTTAAATGCCAAACCCTTTCTTCGCAGTATTGAAAATTAGTTTAATACTTACTCCATTCTAATTTGTTCCAATTGTTGTGCAAGGATCCATGTAAAAAAAAAAAACAAAACAAAAATAAGAGCTTGAATTAATATTAAACATTCAGTTGAATCTAGTCGGGATTTTGTTCAGAAAAGGGGGTAAACTTTTGAAATCCCAATGGAACTCCATTTTTGAGTACAGCACACAATGTGGAACTTTTTACGATTTTCGGTCATACCTTCTAAAAGAAAGCATTTTACTTTTCAAGTACGCTTATCCTGTATACAGAAATCTCAGATTTAGTTTCGTTCAATTTCAGTTTTTAATAAAACTGAAATGTGCCAAGTTCAATATTTGAATGATTTGTTTAATAGACGTTTTATAGAATGAAGAACTTAAATGGAAATATGTGACAATGACTATATTAGGTACTATAATAATTATGCACATACGGTTGTAATTAATGTATAATGCATGTATTTACATTATCTTATAGGTACCTACAGGGAATCCTCTAAATTCCGAACACTCTCGGTCACTGAAATTTTGTCTGCTATTCGGACGAGGTGTCTGTTATTCAGAAGATACAGCCTGTAGAAATTGTACCACTTGTTTGTTTCCAAAAAAAAAAACGTCCACTTTTTTAAGGTGCAGATCGTTTAGAGGATATTTGTTTATACATATAGAAAGTAGTCATTTTAATAACTCGTTTTAAATTTTAGTATTGTATAGATATAGATTTAACAAAATTGAAACAATAATATAATCGTAGAAACGGGGTGTTTTTTATTAAAATAATTTGAATTTATAGATTCAGCAAGTTATATAGTTTTCACTTCGCATCGAAGTACAAACAAGCATTATAATAAATTAATATTATCTTAAACCTTAATAATTACAATTATTGAATTGAGTGAGCCGACTACAACAATTACAAATGATAATCGTACCACAAGGTCCCTTTTTCCGTACCTTTCCATTGCACCAATTACGGCAGAAACAAACCAATTGACCGCATGATGCGGTTGGGTAACGAGGGCCCCACCTTTCTTAGTTCACCATAATATTGTGTTATTGATTTTTTAATATCTTTTAATATCTTTTTTATTATTCTGTTATATCGTATATGTAGTTTTATTTATGTCCTAATTATTATAATTTAATTGTACCTGTAAATTTACTATACTTTTGGGTTATCGCCCCTTATATATGTTAAATTACTGTATTATTGTTGCATGCTGTACTAAATAAGGAATTTTTTATTCCGTAAATTAATAAACAAATAAACAAATAAACAAAATAATCAATTTTGTATAAGAACATTTTGGAGGAAAAAATATTAATTTGTTTCGTTCATACACAAATACACAAAAATTTAATATCCTTCCGTATTATGCAGATTTTTTTTCATAATATATAATAGTAAAAAGTAATCGTAATCAATAACAATATCTATCGGTTATTTATAGCACAACATGTAGATATATAATAATATAATGATGATTGTTGAGTGCATTCGGAAGAGAGAGTGGATTACTTTTAAGCTTAGAACTCTAGGGTTAAAGTTAGCGTTGAAAACATTCACAAATCAAATTACGGGAGACGTAAAGTTAAGGCTCATATTTCCGCCACCACAGTTGGGCGTACGTTTATCGTGGGTTTAGTAATCTGGGTTTGGTACATTATGTTTGGTTACAGTTGTAAGGGCATATTACAGTGGCTCCCTGTTCTTGGACAGACATTTTCTCGTTATTCACTAAATAAATAATATTATAAGACGTTTACGTAAAATGAATTCACTTGTCATTAATAACCGTACCTATATAACCACCTAACCTATATGGGGAATAGTTAAAAATATTCGGCAGGTATATAAACTGTAGTTTATATTGTGGTAACGGGTTAACCACAGGGTTCACACGGAATACGGAGACAGTCGTGCAATAGCCCCTTTACTAGGGGACGACGATGGAGTTCTGATAAGAGCTGTAGCCATACATCGATCGAGTTGAGATATTAACTTAAAGGTTAGTACCTGTGGGTTGTGGTATCTATTGATCTGTTGGTAGATAACATGCATCGAGAAATCACCGTGATCGCTTCGTAGTTCGTACGAAGTGGAATGGCGCCTTAAACGTCATAAATATTAACTGAAATAATGGGAATCGAGAAAGAGTCTTAGGCGAAAGAAGAACACTGCACGACCTCCAAAACTCGAAGACATTGTTTGTTGGAATATACCAATAAACAATTACCATTTACCGATGCTTGAAAATGTATATTATTATTAATTATATAACACGATGAGCAATATCATATTTTTATATTCCAGTAGGTATGTACCACGAAATCCGAAACGGAATATCGCGGTGGTGCGGTATAATGCGGTAGAACATGGTGAGCGCGGTCGTCGTATTCCGGTCCGCACCGCACTGATCGGTAACACGCTCTGAGATAAGAATGGGCGATACACGCGCTGCCCGCAACAACAACAACAACACACACACACACACACACACACACAAATTTATTATTATTACGTGTACGAGTTGTGACGGTGACGGTGATTTCTATTTTTTTTCCTTATTTTTAATAATAATAATTTTGGCTTCACCTCCACCCGCCGACGCCTCCGCAGCACTTTCGTCCCGCCCCGCAGTTTTACATGTAAATCGACGAAACTGGCTTAACGGTAGCCGTCGCTTAGATATTATCGCGGTCGCGTATCTGGACGGTGAATCGATATTCGTCGTAAAAACACCACAACGTAAGTACACCTCGTAGGTTTATATGAGTATATTATACTATAATATTATTATACACGGTGCAGCAATGTACCTAAAACGGAGCCGGAGCCAAAGTCGGAGCGATCGCTTCATAGTAGTCCCCGGGGGCGTCGTCGTCGTCTTCGTTGTAAGCGAGGGAAGAACGACTTCTTCGCGTTTTTTTTCTGTCCGCTGCAGAGATTAGAATAATATTATATTTTAATATTTATATATAAGTCGGCCGCGTTTCTCCGGCGGGTAGTCCCTAGCCCCGGAGGATGACGACGACGATGACGGCGATGACGACCACGATATTTTCATCTTTGTGTATAAAAATCGACGACGCGGACAGGCGACGGATATTATAATATTATAAAACTGGAAACGCGGAGGACGAGGAGCTGATGCGAGGCGCGCGCGCGCTCGCGAACGGTCAGGTCGCGGCTGCTATTATATAATTATTATTAAACCGAATCTCTGTATACATATAATTATTGTTATTACTGGAACGCGTACTACTCTACGCACACACACACAATCTCTATATAATAATAATATAATATTATGATATACGTATATAGTACATACGAGCATATAATATATATAATAAACGTGTATAATGAATAATGTATTATTAAAAATCGTTATAATATTATTATCGCTATAGTTATCTCCTGCGTATAGGGAGTTAGCTCCGTAGGAATGTTACTAAAATATTATATACATTTTATTATTATATTATAATATACTAATCGTTTCGGACCTCAGGCAACGTAGGTACAGATAGACTATATATATATATGTAATATGTTTAATGTTAGTATGGTGTACCGACTGGTGAGGACCTCAGGAATTCGGACGATTCGCAAAAGTAATCGTTTGTATATACATCACATATTAAAGTATAACTATAAGTTTATAAGTCATCTCGTCGATTCCAGAAGTATGTGTATAATATCATATGGGAGTATAGTATATACGCATTAAGTGTCTAGATATACCTGCAGCTCTTTTTTCTGAACGATCCCCTACGATCACCTACGAATTACCATTATACCTCACTTCTGTTAATGCAGTTTTATTACAAATACGACTGTATAATATTATGTCGGTCATTGAGAGTAATAATGCTGCAGGATAGGTATAATATATACATAGCTGATAATAATTACCGACGCTTCTATGCAAATTTATAGCCACTCCATAATAATTTTTAGTTATAGAAAATAATATCTTTATTTTTTTTTTTTTATAGTAGGTATGGGCTTTCATTATAATATGTTGGATAAAGCGAAACTGTGAATTCTGTTTACGCCACAAAATTATAATTTTCATTTTTTAAAACAAGTATGTGAACATCACATTTCTGGATACAAGAATATTTTTTAAATTTAGAATGAAGTTTTTTTATTTTTGTGAGAAATTGTAAATACTCAAAAAAAGTATTGAAGTATATCCGTTATTTACAATTACTGTGTACAACCGTTTTGCCTCTCTTGCTAAACCCGATTGCCAAAAGGTGCGAAACAAAACGGTACTTGCATAGGTCCAATAAAAAGTAGTGAACTACGGTAACGCAGCTAATAATAAATTATAATAGCGCGCTATTTCCAATCTCTGATTTACATCATACAAAATCGCTACAGTCCTTTATAGCACATTCACTGCAGACGGTTATTAATAATTGTACACTCCGCTTTTGAATATTATATATTTAGGCTAACGAGGGGAATGAATTTTTCAAAACCGTATCATAAATGCAACATAGCTGTCCTAACCTAACTTGTATCATACTAACACCTGCAGAGTATAAACTACAAACAGGATTGCGATTGTGACTTGGAAATCGAAAAAAAAATATATTAAAACAACGGATTCAAAGAGTTGTGCTCAAACCATTTTCTATTATTATAATAATATAATATAACATGATTACATTGTTTATTTTATGGATTAAAATCGTCATTTTTTGATGTCTAGGTTTTGAATCCAATCAAAAACATATAGTCTACATGTATGATGTAATTGTTTTTAATTAATTAAAAGATATTCTTGTGGAGTTATGAGTTTCTGTGATCGTTCAGCGGTACCGATACCGCATAATAATATTGTGACGATTGTGTATTTGTGTGTAAACGGTAGATACAAAACAATTGTAATTATCGTGGCTTGTGCATGAGGAAAAATAATTTAGCATAAAAACATAAAAAGCACTAGGTCTTTCGTTTTGCTTACCGTTTTAGCGTTGACGTTGGCGTTGTACGTGCCGGCCAACATTTTCACCAGGTCCATGTTGCCGTGTTTTGCCGCCCAGTGTAACGCCGTCTGAAAAAAACGCAACCCGCATTATATTATTATAAATTATAATAATATTATATTAATATTATTTATTTATTTGTTGTGTGTGTGAGTGTGTGTTTACAACGCAAGTCGTGTAGTATTATTATTTTACTCGCACGCACATAATAATATTATATATAATATTATTATAATAGGTATACCTAATCCGCTCGAACGACTAATTAATCTTGCATGTTGCACACTAATTTGTAGGCTATTAGCCACGTAAAACTAGTTCTCGAGGAATAATAATTTTCGTATACACATTATATATTATAATATTATTATTTTACGAGCATAGTTTGTTGTTCCCAAACACAACGAGCATCGTATCAGCTGCTGCTGCCTGCAGTTGCCAGCTCCTCCTCGACTCTTCAAACGGTGGCGCGCGCGCGCGGCTGTGACGATTTCGAGCGCGGCCCCGGATAATAATAATAATAATAATATAATAATTATTATTTTGTTTAATTTACACCTGTACACGACAGCGATAACCCTTTCCCGCGATATTACACGCCGTAAAGTAGTGGCAGTAATAGTATTGTTGCAGTAGTTGTGTGTGCATGTATATGTATATAGTATTTTATATATAGGTACAACGGTACACTCGTTAAACAGACATTACACTATACGCGCTCCCGAGGGACTTGGTTCATTATTTAATTGCGCACGCACACTGTGTACGAAGGCACACACTCGGGTCTATAATCTATATATTATATTGTAATATACACATATCGTCATTATAGTCTTTACACTACATACGGTATACATATTATATACGTATTACAGAAGTACATGCTAAGAGTTTATATTGTGTAGAATTTCAGACGTATCATATTATATTCGTGGGTGAACTGAATGGATTGAATATTGTTCCTCCGAAAAATGTGCGTAGGTAAACTTTCGTTTCCTAAACATTCTAAGAAGATTAAATGCACAACCACCTCGTATTAAAATATTTAGATATTTTTTTTAAATTTGAATAGTATATATTGGGAGGGAAAGGGGAATGTTTATTTTTGTCGGAAACAAATTATGCCCTCATCTTAAGTAGTCCTTCTCAAATAGTCAAACTGACAACCTGCAATCAGTCTACTGATTCGTGAATTTAGTATATACCCTTATAATGCATATAGGTATAGCCCCAGATTCGAGACTATTTACATTATACCATACAGTATCTATATATACACGCATGGAGTATGAACTACACTATAAATATACATATATCTACTTGAACGCTATTCCTCGTCATACATGTCGAGTAATTTTTGTTACGTCTAGAAGCGCGCTTCTCTTTAGATCCAATTAAATTAAAATATAATAACACACGGACGGCCCTCTAAATATGTAGACAGATAATATATAACTACTCATTATTATATCCTCACGCATAACTTCATTTTACATCGTAAAAGTTACACGCACACATACTTGTATGCGGATACTTGTTGTGACCGGGAAAATTAACACAATTTGAAGATTATTTAACATAAATATTACATACTATTATTATCATAGTATTTGAACAAGTTTTGAAAGTTGTAATTTTATTTGTGCCGTAACCAAGTTCAACCGTCGCGATACGGTTTTTTTCTTCGCACGTTTTTATATTTGCACTACCTATAGATACGTATATAACAATTAATAAATATACTATACGTAATTAAAACAAACAATCTAAGAATAATGTATAAATATAATATGTACACGCATTTACTATACAAGCACGTCTCCACCACCGGTTATTATACGTATATAGTATATAATATACATTATAATATTATATATACCCAAGAAGACCTGGTAGGTACAGGCGGTACAGCAATCGAAATCGCTCGGCAAACATTTCGTTCGCGTTGTATGCGACAATAATAATAATAATTATTATTATACACAATAGCTCGTTTTGTTGGAATAGAAAAACTATTTATAATCGACCGGTTTGGAAATGCATAATACTACGCACACGAATACCTATATAATATTATACAATAATAATTGTAATCCTGCTAATGGTTTTTATTATTATTATTATAGGTATCGTCGCGTATACACCGCAGGTCCATATATATATACAGTTATTTAACTGGTCGTTTATATGATAATTTATAATAATAACGTCGTTGGGCAATATATATATATATATTATATTATAATATGGTGAAATGTATACGATAATGCAGCACAATCCATATATACCCGCGCATAAGTGTCTAGGTATATTCGATATGTTCATACGATTGTTGTATATTATTGTGTTACGCTATCAGAAATATGTATAAACATAATAAATAGACAAGGATCGTTAATTGAAAAAAAGTCCATCGCAAAGTTGGACTGTGTGTTTTACTTGCAGTATATTATAATATGTGTGGTACATAAGTATGATGTGTGAACTGTGAAATGTTACGGTGCGTTTCTCGGCGTATTCAACTCTCCAAACCAGAAGTAATTCCAAAAACAGAAGGCTGTAGTGGTACTTCGGAAGGTAACCCAATATGCATAAAAACGGCTCGTTCGAGACACTTAAATTTCGGCTCGCTGATCGCATCGCTGCCGCGTGCACAATATAATAATATACTGTTTAATATATAAACGCGCCCATGTCGGCTGTAGGACTTTTGAATGACACGCGGTGGGGTAGTAGGGGGTTGTTGGCTGGCTCCCCGAGGACGAGTAAGAATATAAATCAAGGAGAAAAACGTGTGTACCCGAGTCGATTTTTTTTTGCTCAATATGTTCCCCGCCCGATGCATCCGCCGAAGACCATATTGCCGTGCCAGGTTCGCGGAAGGATACTGTTCTGTCGTCGTGCATACGTCACACCGCAGCAATTTCGTATACATTATATTATAGCTCTGCACATTACTACACGGGTCGACTAAACGATACGCTGGACCCGGGACACCAAATGTTTAGACGAGCGTACATAAAAGAATCGGTTGTCTGTGCAATTGGACTCCTCCGGACGAGACGATAAATCGCGGTCGGGTTGTCAACGCTAAAAGGTCGGGAGCACGTGTGATTCGGGGAAACGACAGCAGGAGATGGAAAAAAAAAATACAAACGTTTCTCGGCCGTCTGCTTCTGGGCATATAGTTGGTGGTTCCGGTGCCGGAAAACGCATCGTTTTCGTCGTTTGTACAACTTGACAGTATCCAGACTCTGCACGAGAAGCCGACGAGTCTCGTTTACGACGAGCTAGCCTATTAGTATAATATTATACTATTATTATATTATAATATATTATTATACTGTGCGAATAATAATAAATGGAACGCGCTCGCCGCGCGCCGCCGTATATTCGATGCCGAGTTCTAAGACTTTCCATTGTCCGCGCCTCGCGTGAAACGACTCTATTTCTTCCGGCCATGTACCGGTCTTTATAATATACGCAAGTACACGTGTAGTATATACATATACATATATATATATATATTATAAAAGTGCATATTTGTACGCCACAGCAATTTACTATAATCATATGCATACATCGATATATTGTATTAGTGTACTTATACATTATTATTACTATTATTGTACAATGAACGGGCGCGAGGAATATGCGGTGCGACATTTGACCCCATATAATGTGTACACATAGATATAGGTAAATACACATTATTATTATTATCATATTGTGCGAATCCCGTTCTCGATTTAACACGTGTACCCCGCGCAAACGGCTACCATATTATATTATATTGTTGCACGGTCGGCGTCGAGTTTTCTAAATAGTTTCCTCTGCAGTTCTTCTTATCTCACGTGCACTATCTGCATCGCATTGTTTTAAAATAATAATATTATTATTATATCATCGCTTTGCAGCAGACTGCAAACCGTCGGCTGTACAACTCACGCGAGCATACGGCTTGATTACGGACGCCGCCGTCGATCTCGTCGTAGTCTTGATCGCGCATTGCAAGCAGTTATAATAATAAATAATAATAATAATAATATGTATAATAAGTAATAACACATCAATACATCATGGGGGTTTGTATTGATGCACGATACCCATATGGCCATAATATGTAATGTACGTGTAACAATTATTATAATGGTATTACGCGTACGTGTGTGGCTGATCGAGCAAATGCGTGACGTATGTCGTATGTCCACGGGAAAATTTTCATGTTATTGGTGTGAAGGTACTCGAGGCGGGTAATACAGGAATTATTCATTCGAGAGTTTAAAAATGTATTATTTCAACTAAAAAAAACAACAGGTAAAAAACGACAAAGTCATAAGTTATTATACTGATAATATTATAATATCTAAAATCGCCACTATAGGTAACAACAACAGGGGACATTGCCACCTTACATTTATACATGGGTATTAATAACGAAAATCCGACTGGAGGTAGCGAAAATTAGCTCAAATGCATTGGAGACATTTCAAAAAAAAAAAAACAAAGATTTATGCAGTTACAAAATAAATTAAAACATGTATGTGAAGAATATTCAAGTGGGAAAATAGCTGATATCCCACATTTTTTAAAACTATTGTTACCAAATTTATATTTTTGATATTTTATTTGATGTTTTTTACCTTGTACATTTTTTATAACAGCTATATAACAATATTATCCATGCGATAATCGGGATTTTAAGATAGAAGTAAAACTGACGTTTTTACTCTTGTAATCTTGTCGTATTTTACTGTGTCGTTTTTTTTCCTATAGATTCAAATATAATATAGCCATCCTTGTTGGTTTATAGAAATACATTTTTAAATTACTTGTGGTCTACTTTTGATGCCTATAATATTTCAATTTTAAGCCAAAATATGCAATTGATCGTAGGGACACGACACCAGACCTACTCCTATATTATATTATATGGGTGTGTGTATGTGCGCTAGCGGGCGGGAAGAACTAAGTACCACTTCGTAATCGGCAATTAGTTACATAATTATCACGGATGTTGATGATGAGAATTTTTTGACCTGTTTCTTCAAGCAGTTTTCGCGAGTGTATGCTGTTGCGGCATAGTACCGTGGTTACCTCGGCGATAGAAAACTAGATGACAGTACTCATACAATAATATTCAAATGTTATTGTTTAATCAGGAACGCAGACCTATCTATGGAATACACAGCAATTACATGAATATACTAGCTGCGAAATATTTTAGAAAATCGCTTAAAAATTATGGCTCCGACCGCGGTAAATATGCCCATGGAACAGTTGACCGTGCACAGTGCCTCCTACCGGCCGCTCCCGCTCCCGTTGCGGGTGTGTCGCTGTCGGACACCCGTTAAACGGTCGCTCGCTCCGTCGTTCGTCACCACTGCACACCGGGAAGCATATCGACGGAGAGACCCACAGGAACCGATCAAGTCGAAGCCACCTCCAGACCACGGGTTCCTGGCCGGAGACGGCGTTGACCGTTTCCACTGCACGTCGTACAAAATGCATTACCCAGTAAAAGACGGACTGCACCGCGGTAATCATTGCAGTCAGCTTATTAAAGCCGACATCCGTTCTTCACGTTACCGTTCGTTTGTTGCACTCCAGTACACCACCCCTCCCCCCCAAAGAGTGCTCAGGGAGCATGCGATCATTAGTTTCATACATTCATTAGGTGCATATATAATGTATAAGATTCCCGAATAAAACGAATTAACTCTAATCGTTTGATGTTAATAAAATTTATGTATAATACGTTTACACTACATAGTATACCTATCTAAATCTATGAAATGTACCAACATTTTATGAGAATTTTGAACAGCATTATACGTACATAATATTATTCACTTTAATCAACGTGTTAAAGTCACTTGAGTACGAATATATTAGGATACTATACCTACCTACTGCAATATATAGGTTATAGGCCTACACCATTCGAAAACACGAATCGAATATGTTCAATATGACTAGACACACAATTCGCCGATTACAATAATTCGTTCAAAGTAAAATATAACAATAATGGATAGAAATAAAAGGGAGGTTTCTTCTCTAAAAACTTTAAAAAAATAATAAATCGTTTATATTGCTAATTCTGAAGTGTCTTGAAATACAGAAAATGTGGTCTTTCACTATTATGTTATATTATAATATGGTCAATGAATTTCAAAAACCACAATTTTAATTAATAGAAGATTTCAGCATTTTGGAATGGCGGCGAGCGGCCAGTTCCGGTATAACTATACCTTGTAAATAATATTATTCTGAAGTCAGCGCCGGGCCGAAGGCCTGGCAAGGTGGCACTTGCCAGGGGCACAACTTATTCAATAAACAATGAATATGGAGGAGAGCAACATTTGATAGATTTTTGAGGATAGAGGGGAGGTCACAAAATTGTCATCTTGTCAGGAGCATTACAATTGCTAGGCCCGGCTCTGGAGTAAACATACACAACATTTATAGTCAAAAGTTATAAAACATTGCAATAATATATAATATACTACATAAGGAGGTATAAATATATAGATAGAGACGCGGATACGGCGGACTTCTGTAATGTTATAACAATTATTTATATAATATATTAATAAGTATATACCTATTACTGCATAAGTATAAAACGTGTAGTGTCACTGGTAAAACGTTTAAAATATTAATTCTTACAGCTCGACCGGTCACCCCTCCCGTCCGGCCGTCGCTGGTACACGTTTCAATGGAAGCGGAGACGACTACCGGCAACGCGTACCGCCGTCCCGCTACACCGAAACTTTGGCGACGCCCTTCGAGTGCTTACATTGTGTCGCCGGAACCGATGGAGACGACATCAGTGCACCGATCTAGTTACAAACCACCACCGTGTAATTTTGACTCAAAGGCAAAGGCTGACATCTGCCCTAGACGCGCATTTGTCGACGAATCGCTAAGGTCCGCGATGCCCATCAATAGTCACACCACATACACGACCTCGTATCACACGAGACATCCGAATTTAAAACTTCTGGGACCGATACCAGAAAAATTGCGGCAGATGCAGGGGTCGGAAAAAGCGCCAACGGCCCACAGCTACAATATACCGAATAGCAATAAATTGGTTAAATGTACGAGAAAAATTGAACACACAACATAAATACCAGCTTATTTGAATAATGAGTTTTCATGAAAATGCCGTTTTAAATATTGTAGTTATTGCTGGAATATATGTGATATAATTATGCATATATTGGTAAATAATGATAATATATGCATAATGCAGTATATGGTTCACAATTAGCGTGCGATGATGCCGGGGTGCAGAGAAATACGATATGCATGTATTATAATAGGCGAAAATAGGAAATCGATAGAAAATTATTTTGAGATTTATTAGACTATACGTTTCAAATCGAATCTCAAATACTAAATTTGCTACAACACCCCTTATACGCGCACAATAAATTGTGTGCATTATGCGAATAACGCGCGATACATATAGCGTTAAATTCTTACACCCCTAAAATGCATCGGCCGTACAAATTATGGTTCCCGACATAGCTTCCTGTTGTATATTAAATTATAGCTGTACTGTTGCGGTTTGAATGTGCATTTGGATCGTGTGCTTTTCACCCGCACAATTAAGCGCGGCCGGTAAATCACAAGGCTATCATCTGTAGCAAATTGCACGCCGTTAATATTCCCCCCAAAATGCAATTTATACGCAGCTAGTTTTCAACTGCAAAGCGAGTGCAATTAAACGCACCGAGCAACAAGTCACACGCGGAGGGCATACCCGTCGTCGTGCAGCACACACGCCGAGTAATAAAATACTTTCAAATAATTAAAACGTCTTAGCAGCACACGGTACGCAACATACGACTTTGGGAAATTCAATTATTAAAGTCTGCGGGACGACACGCTTAAAGATAATCATATTATATTATCAACTATATACTATAATTAAACGTTGTCGGCACTTGTCGCGCATATTATGTACTTTACATACATCTGTTTACACGCATTGAAAAAGAAATATGCATTCGAACCGAACGATAATATACATCGTTTGAATAAAATATAGTGTGAATTAAAACACCGATTGATGAAACGAGTCCAAGTACCATTTCAACAGCCTGTATAATAATATCCGTCTAAAAACACGCACTTGATTTTTTTCTATATGTCCGCGCGCGAGTCCATACAGCACAACACGACGTACGATTTCCAATACGGTTAAACGTCTAGTATAGGTTAGGTTGTATACATATACGTACTTGTACTGCATTACGATACGAGGGAGAAAACGTAATTTATATATTTAATTTAGGCGGCGACGAGGTGGTAAATTTTCGGTGTTGAATTTCGAACGGCAAAAGTTACGACCAGCGCATATAGCACACGCACATACACACACACACACACACACACACACACACACACACCAGTACACTGCAATTCGCTCAGACCTCCCGAAGACCCGAATGGATCTCAATAAATCGAGTGCGGCCCTGTGTACCTGTACGGACCGGGCCCGATAAATCTGTACGATTTTTATCCCCGCGGACGGTCGGCGGCCGTAAGTACGCACATATAAATACTCGTGCGTCAGTGCATACAGGTACATAATAATATATATATATATATATGTACAATAGAGTGCAGACCGCCGAGAGATAACCGGCTGAACGCGCGGTGGTTTATTGCTTCCTCCGCAAACTGGTCTCGTCTCGGCGCACCGTCGGATCACACACACACACACACACACACACACACACATACACACACACACACACAAACACACACGTGTGTGTGTATGCGTACGCATATGCACGCACAGACACACACGAGAGACGATAGTGTACAATATGTTATATATTATGCGGACACAATGTAAACGACGGACATAATTTTTTAAGCGGATTTCATACCATTTTATTATTGTACAACCCGCGAAACGGAGGTTTCTCTCCAAAAGGGGGACGCGAAATTACGGCGCGCGCGGTGCCCTTGTAGCCTGCATATAATAATAACCTTTGTCGGTTTCGTTTCCTCGCGGCGGCCCCATTGGGGTTCAGCGCCCCGTGCGCGGCGACGACACTCGGCGCGGTAAGAGAAAAAAAGAGCTAGGGGTTGTTTTGTTTTTTTTCTCTCCCCATTCGGTAGCGGATTTCGCGCACACACGCACCGCGGCGTTTGCGGGACAAAAGTGTGTCGTCGCGGCCAAAGACCGATGATAACAATAACAATAATAATATAATATATTATAGCGCCGACAATGGGCAAATGACGAGTTGTTAAAATATTATATATATATACATATGTGTATAAATGGGGGATGATATCGGCGCGACGATCTCCAAGTGTACGCCGAATGCGATACACACGTCATGTACGTATGTTACCTATGATGCGCCCGGTGACGTGCGGGCTGCGGTTTAAACAGGATTACAATTCGTACACGACACGGTGAGCGGGTGTGTTGTTGTCGATCACATATGATATTATAGTGCGCAAATATAATAATAAATGGTACCTATGCGGACGCGGCGTGTATGCGCCTATTATATTATATTGTACACACGATCGTCTCGAGGAGACATGAAAGCGACCGCGGCACACTTTAAGACGCGGTTATCCGAAATTCGTCGACGATTAGGGAGAAATATAATAATAATACCTATATACATACTAATAATAAGATTACACACCGGGTCGGTATATATTATTATTATTATTATTATTATTATTATTTGTGCTGCAGCGGCGACGTACATATTATAATCCTCAATAATGCGAGTGTGTGTATAAAATATATTTAGTGGACGCCGCTCCCGCGAATTGAAAATTTGAAATGTTTACGCGTGTTTGCGGCGAGTGTTCACAAAGGATGACGCGATAAGTACTGTGATAAGTACTTATTGAGGTAGGTATAGCTTTTGTCGAGAGAAAACTGTATCATAAAACCGGCGTAGAAGAATACGATTTGCATTCGTCAAAATACGTTCAATCTCAGTGACCGTAGTCTGCTTGGTCGATAATAACAATTACAAATATGCATAATGTTATAATATTGTATTGGTAACGGATGTATTATTCCGTATGACAGAAACCCTATGGCGATAAAAGCGTATGCGTACAATGTATAATATTAAAATAACGATAACTTGAACTGAATAATTATGTCTTTTGACAGATGTTTTTTTTTGCATTTCTTAATTTAAGGACATGTGTTTTGTTTTTGTATGTAAGTGTACAACACTAGATACATATAAATTAGAACATTCAATTATAGAATAATATGCACATTATATATTATATTTATGACGAAATTACTTTTGGTATTTAATATTTACAGTGAACTGTTATAAACTTATATTATTGTCGTAAATGCACTTAGGAATCGCATTTTAATAATACATTTTGATCCGAAAAACTTAGACCCTGGTAGTAGAAGTATAATTTCACGTTGAAAAATACGTTACTGAATGATTAAAATAAATACTCAACACGTTGCAAAAAAAAATTGAACGATTATACAATTCGTGTTTGACAACGACCAATGTATGACATATATAATGTAGAAAACATTTGCATAACTTAAATATGCTAAAACCGATATGAAGTCAATCGTTTATGCAATTTTTGAAATGTACACATAAGTTAATACTTATACCCATACGACGTCGTATGGGTACAACTCGTGTACGTATACTACGTACAACAGAATTCACGATGAATAAATATGATTTTATATCCTGTCGTTACTCGTTTATATTATAAACTCCACACTATTTGCTATAATAAACGTGGCGAAGTGCATTGGCAGCATGCGTACATTAATCAAGAATGGTATTTTAATTTTTGCAGGAACAACTATACATGCGTACAATGCAGTATATATGTCACTATTATACAGACGCTGATGGTAGGTGGCAGGTGCTTTAGTCGCGGCCTTCGGGAAAGCATACAGTTTTATTCGGTTATGGGCAAGTGACAAAGTGTAGTAAAATAATTGAAATCGATTCTTGAGGAAGTACTAATACTGTACGGGCTAACTAACATCGAACACATAGACGAACTGTTTAGGTGGGTACCTATACATTTATACACATGGTATTTTTAAACATAATATTATAAGGGTACTTAAACAAAAGCGATCGAGAAAAATAACGTTTGATTTTTGAAACGAATGTTTACGTTACGAATGAGCAGCGTCAAACCGAGCAGTATATTTTCAACTAAACACGTTGTTTGTCACAACTAAATAAATCGTTTCGTCGACTGAAAACTAACTATAACTATTTTGCTGAAACCAATTTTTTTTTACGTGTGTACAAAACTGTATAACCAAGAAAGGCGAGAGGTGTGAAGGTACGAAAAAAAACCTACAACCTAATAAACGACGTTTTGATAATAATTATGTGTACAGTAATTTTTTAGCTCGGAAAAAAAATCAAATATTGTCATAAAGTTAAACACGGTGATTTACACAAAAGATAAACGGACTGTACTTATGGGTAGGTATATAATTATTACAAGTGGTCATTTTCGGTTTTTGTTTTTTTTTTTTTGTGGTTGTTTGTTTGAACGAGCCACACTCGAGACACCTGCACGGCCGTTTGGAGAAAATGCAAACCGTCCGCTTAATGACTTTTAATAACGAGTTATCGAATTTGACTTTAATTGTGGTAACAGGTGATTTCATAAAACGGGGTGGAAAAAAAAACAGGTGATAATACATCCTATATGCAATAAATAGGTTACTCCGGGGGATATATTAGAGACAATTACCGGTGGAAACTCTGGAATTTATAACAACGGCTACCGTGGTTGTGGCGGCATGCATATTAATATGACCTCTCGTATTGCTACATAATATACTATTATTATTATAATTTTACCTACACACACATATCATTGCGATTATATTATTCAAAATATCCTGTCCCCCGGAAAAGGTTTAGCCGTATATTATACCTACTCTTAAGTACCTGGTTAGGTGTATTAAGTTAAATTTTTGTCTCATAATAATAATATAATATGACCACATTGTTTTATTTTGGAAAATATTATACCGTGATGAGTATCTCCATAAATCTTGCTACAATAAGTCTAAACAGTAATAATTAGTATTGTGATCATGAAAATATAGGTACTCTAAAATAATTTTTTTCTTCAGGTTTGATGCATTTTTGTATGAAAAAAAACATTCCTGAATATATTACGGCGTACCTACGTATTCTTCATAAACTTGTTTTAGTTTTTTCAATTATTTTACATTTATAATAAAATCTAAAATTTTAATGCACGTTTCACATATATATAGATATATACCTGTATATATAGTGAAATATACCTAAAGTTTTATTGTTAAATTGCCGGAAATTATAGTAAAATATATATCGCACAAACTACGTATTTTACAGAATACATTTTAATTACATATTATATCGCAATGTAAAAAACTGCTGAGGGCAAAATAATAATTTTTAATGAACGTTAAAGTCGAAGTCCATTACAAAATTAGTGAGACGTTATGAGGGGAAATTAACAAAAATAA